TTATCCTTCAAATATGCATGATCCTTCATAAATGCTGATTTGGTGCTCAAGAAACATTTATTATTATTATCAATGTTAAAAACAGTTGTGCTATTTTTTTGGGAACCATGATACTTTTTTTTCAGGATTCCTTGATGAATAGAAAGTTCAAGAAAAACATTTATTGGAAATAGAAATCTTTCGTAATATTATAAACTGTCACTTTTGATCAATTGCATTCTGGATGTATACAAATATTAATAAAATATTAATATTATATTTATAAAATTAATTCTTAATAAAAAAATCTTAATGAACCCAAATTAACACTTAAAAAATTAAAACCTTTTAAATGTCACCGTGGTATAATCGTAATATGGAGATGTGTTAGTAAGTTAAACTTCAACAACCACCACTTCCCTGCCATTTGCATGGGTTATATTTTCACACAGTTTCCCGAGGAGGCTTTTTAAATTTAATTCAGCAGGGATAAGTGTACATGACAACATGAATGCGACATTTCAGATGTCAATAGCTACCTTTTTCTGTCATCATTTAATAAACATTGACAAATATAGATCACAAGAGAGTTACATGATAATGTGTACTGTAAATATATGCAAATTAATATTTTGTGGGTTGTAATTAGCATATTTTCCTACTTAGAACAGACTTGAAATATTCTGATAAGAAGAGATTTTCCTGTCTTATGATCTTATACAGTGGTCTTTATATTTTTTGTAAATGCATTTATGTGATCAGAATGTTAAAATAAGCCCCAGTTCGACTTCCGTGGTCTCTATTTCTGTCTCTCTCTCTCTCTCTCTCTCTCTCTCTTTTCCGAGGTCCTCATAGTGCAGGTGGTGGTTTCCTCCACCAGAGAACAGAATAAGTAATTTGTTCCTGTTGCCTCTCTTCTGCTTTCCCAGCGCTGCCTCTCCTCTCATGCCGCGTCTTGTTTCTCCTAAACACAGCAGCTGTCAGACTCCGTCAACAGAAATGCACAGATCTTTCATGAATCAATCACTCCACTAGAGCTGTTTAATGTTTCTGTTGCAGAGAATCTGTTGTAATGAGATAACTCTCATAACAACTCAAACCTTAACATCCTTAATGAGTTTTGTCATTATGACTTATTTACACCTCATTTCCACTGCAAACAAGCATTTATCTGTCACTTTTCAAGGATTGGATGCCAAATAAGACCTTAATATATATATATATATATCGAACACAACTATTAAAAATGAAAATGAAAAATGAAGAAACTATTTCCAAATGAAGATGTCCGAATTGTTCTTATTTTGTTGAAATATCATTTTTTTTTTCCATTTAGTACTGCCCTTTGGAAGCAACAGAAGATACTTGCATGTTTCCCGGAAGACGAATTAAGTACAATTTACCTTGATCTTCAAATGCAAAATGTTTTCACCCCCCGGCTCTTAACAGTGTACAAGTAACAAATTGAGTTGTCTTTCGCATTTCCTTTTGCTTGAATGGTTTTAAAATTGCTTGAATGCTGAACATCGGGGAGTCAGTGTCAAGCCCTGAATAAACACGCAAGGATATGGGATGCAAAAAAATTTTTTTTACATAAAAATATTATTTAAAAAAAGCTAGTAGCTAGTAAGTAACAGCTGAAGATGGCTTTAAGCTAAAAAATAAAATGTTCATTTTAATTGCATTTAGTGTACCATTCATTTTACATGGTATTTACTAGATGATTTGAAAATAAGCCCGGCTTATATATTATGTCCCTAAACAAGTAGCCTAAATGGAAGGAAAGAAATGCTGTGCAGATGGGCAGAAGATGAACAAAACTTCACATTTACCTTTGTTCTGCAAAATTTTGCAAACAAAGTCCATGCATTTCAATAAGATTCCGTGCAATTGGGAGTTTTGCATTCGAGCAAACGTTTTAAGTTGGCTATGCGAATTTGCCAAGCTGACCAAAAGAAAGTTGCTTGGTTTGAAAGTGACTTAGTTGTGAGCGGTGCTTCATATATATCGCTATACTATCGACAATGGTCCTTTCTTGCCTGAAAATTTAAGTGAATTTTTGCTAATGTAACCGTACCTGGGCCTGCGGTTGGTGTAGTTTTGCTACAGATGAGAGAGAGTGTGATTACTGGACTGAAATGTACAGTAGACAATACATACTGACCAAACATAAATGCAGAAAAATACAAAAAGTATAGAACTAGTTGTAATAGAGTTCATTTAGCACAGATTTGCGATATTTGAGACGCATTACTTGCTGAGCAGTCTAATAGTTGTGAAGAGGCTGTTCTTGAAATATGAAATTGATCTGCAACATCGGCCTATGTAAAGCAAGAGTGGCATGTTTGTAAAGTTGACTTTATAACCAAGATTCGTCTTTGTGCTTGGTCAGATGGTTTAAGTTCCGGCGTGAATGTGCTTTGTCATCATTCATAGTACACAATGAAGTCTAGTCAAAACCTGAAGCTCCTCAGAATCAATGAAACATCTCTGTCACAGTCTCTCCTCTCAGTTTGAGCTCAGCTTAGTGTTAAAGCTGCTTCATAATGGCTCTTTAATAAGTAAATAGAAACAGCTGAAGTTCAGTCAGGTCAAAAGAAGCTTAATTTAACCCTTGAACTCAGACCCTGCCCACAAGGAGGCATTCACTCCTAATCTCAGGTCTAAAACGGATCTCGCTTTTCCCTCTCTGACTTTGAAAATCACTGATTTCCGGACTTTGGGAATGGCATAGACATCTGACGTTCCCCTGAGGAACAGAAAAAGTGAAGGTGACTTTCACTGTGTGGTTGCGCTCAGTCTTTCCAGACGTGACCGCACATTCACTCATTCCACTCACTCAAGGGCAAACATATGTCTTGTATACTAATATTCCCCTGGCAGAAGTGTTTCCTGTACACAGAGTCCTCAGTAACGCAGTAATCTACTGCAGCGTGTGCGCTGATAATCACAAAACAACCTGGCCTTTAAAGTTGCGATATAACTGCAGCAAAGCTAAACATAAATAGCCTCAGAAATCAGAATTTAATTTTGCACTCCACCCATCAACAACAAATCTGTGCTGCTAGCCTCTGCGCTAGTTTCTTGGGTAACCGCACTCCAGATTGCAGCATTAATTATGAATGTGAAATGGATGACGTAGATGATACATTAAATTTGGTTTAAAACGAAATATGTGGAAGTCGCACAAGACAGTAAAGGACATCTGTCAGTCTCACACTGTTTTGAAATGAAGATTTAAAAGTCTGATATATATTAGCCAGGCTAATTTATCAGATATTTGTCTGATAGCCCTTCTTTAATGTTTTTGAATGGATTTCAAGTGGGTATTGTATAAAAGAAATTAAATTTCAACAATATTGTGTTAATTTGGAAAAAAGAAATTTAAAAAAATGGTTAAATTGTGTTATTTAGGCCTTTATTGACCAACATCCATCCTGTTCCTTAGGTGTCAGTCCTGTATTGGTGAACACATAACATAATGTAGCTGTTGGTTGTCAAGCATTATGCATGACGTGTGTGTGTGTGTGTGTGTGTGTGTGTGTGTGTGAGAGTGAGTGTGTGTGTGTGTGTGTGTGTGTGTGAGAGAGTGTGTGTGTGTGTGTGTGTGTGTGTGTGTGTGTGTGTGTGTGTGTGA